CATGCTGCCGCGTCCAGCGCCAGCTCCAGACGCGCCCTGGCGACCTCCAGGCAGCGGCCCTTTGCGCGTTCTTCCGTATTCCATCATCCATAGTGGTGGGCGTCATTTAGCGGGAGACGCCCAGACCCGGCGCCGTTTCATGGTGAGGCCATGTGCACAAGCGGGCCTTTGCACCTTCAATTTTTGCCGAGGCACGGCACTAACACCTCTTGGCAAGGTGCTGACTGACTGCGCTGACGTAGCGGTTTTGTCACATAACCGTTACGTCAGCGGGCGATGGGGTCGTCACTTCCCTACGCCTTAGAATATTATTATTATAATTATTATTATTTTAAGTGTTAGTATAATGGAATATATAGTCTTTTAGTGTATAGCAAAACCTAAATTACGAATATATTTCGATTTAATATTATAAAACAATATTATAAAATCACCAAAACTGTCTACTTCAATGTAATTTTTTTCCGTGTATTTAGTTATAAACATATCTATTTTAATTATTTTATCAAAATACATGTAATGTTAAACATCCAAAAAAAATTTTAGCTGGTTTTATTTTGTCAATTTTTTTTATATAATTATTTTAAAAATATTATAAATCATCACGCGCAGACGCCGTCCGATTCAGTACGCCATAGATTACTGTATATATACTAGAGGCTCTTTATTAGCTCCGGGTAATCCCAACAACAGGACGTATCACTTTTTCTCACCGACACCGCGCGTTGATACACCGATAGGGATATACTACACTATACTATAACTAGCTACCTATAGCACCATCAAGCATTTTAAACGATTGAGACTTTTAAGCGATATTTTTTGGTAGTAAGTAATTTTGAAATATGTTTATGGTAATGGTAATATTTAAATAATAAATGATTTAATGGTAGCAAATTTACATTTCATACATATTTTTTTAGAAATGGGTAATAAACATAAGCAATTCGGCTCTAGTAAAAATACAAAATCGTTGGCTTTCACCTTTGGCTCCGTGGCGGAGTGACTTGGTAATGAGTTGTAGCGCTGAGCGCCGCGGGTTCGGATCCCAGACGGAACAAAAATTTCTGTAACCTACAAATAATTGTTCCGGGTCTGTATGTTTGTCCTTGTGAAATTAATGTATTTAAACTGCCTCCACGATGTACTTAGGAAAAATTTCTAGTGTGGAGATAACGTTATGATTAAACAAAGACATAAAAAAGATATGAGCCGTGCTTGAGTTGAGTAGCTCAAATGCGAATTGTTCGCCATAAACGCGAGCAATCCGGGTTCGATCCCCGCCGACACTAATGAAATTGTTAATTTGATGAATTATGTTTACATTATGAAACAGAATAAAAGTTTTTCAAATGATATATATTTTATAATACATATTTTTAATTAGGACATATTTTAGAATATACTCAATAGGGTGAAAATGTAAAGCCGACTTCAATGTACTAAAAAGAATAAAACAATTTCAACATATTATAGCCTCCAATTTCTATTTTCTATATACTATATTATGTGGAAATTATTTTTTATTCTTTTAGTTCTAATAATATAAAAATGCTCCGTGCAACTAAAGCCGACTTTCCACTATGGGATATAATATCTATAATTTATATTACATCTAGATATATAAATTAATATCGCTCACCGTACTTTTAAATGGAACCGTTTCCACTGAGATATAATATATATTACATCCCAAACTATAAATATTTTTTCGATCGCCCGAGCGATATTTTCATATTATATTTCACCTCCTGTACCCCGCACACCCTTCCGCGCCTCCGCTACGTCCTCAGATCATCCAATGACGAACGCACACTGGTTAAAAGATATACCTCACAGTGTGAAGGGCAATCGTGGGATATAATTTATATTTCGGGATATAATATGTATTATATCCCATAGTGGAAAGCCAGCTTAAAAGCAACTAGCGTCGAACTCGCCCTGACACGCACACAGAGATAACATTGTAGTGTGCGTCAATATTACGCCGTTCCAAAGCGATCGCGTAGATTTCGACTTGGACATATTTGAATATGCGCTCTTAATCGCGGTATTCATTTATCCTAAAAAATTGGGAATATTTTAACACAAATTAAAAAAAACCGAAAAGATAAATATAAAAAAGGTAAATCAGTAATTCATTAGTTTGTGAATAAAATAAAAAGTGTTGCCAATCACAAAACATATTTAAAAAATCGATTCCCTTTTTCGATCGAATATTTATGGTGTCATCATTACAGTGCTAATATAATTTTTCGATAATTATTATGATGTTATGATAATTAAACAAGCGAATTACTAGCTGATTTCCAATAAATTCTTTAGAGAGTAACAAAACGCTACGGCACAATTTAACTGTTAATCTTAACCGATCTTCTTTGAAAACAGATAAGAACTGTTATTCTTATCTATTTCCAAAGAAGATCGGTTAAGTTATTCTTATCTGTTTATAACAATACTTTTAAAATAGAATAGATAGATAGATAGATAATTCTTTATTGTACACCAAATCAATACATAAACGAAAGAAGAAGAAAAAAAGTTTCTGAAAAACAGGTAAAGACTAGGCGCGTCTCACTGACAGAGGTAATTCTCTGATGATCTCAAAACTTTCGAATGGGAATAGTGAAGGAATTCAAAACGATCCTTAAGATAAGAAGGATAGGAATTATTAAAGAGAACATTGTAAAGAAGTGACAGAATATGAGCATTCCGGCGAAGACGGATAGGAAGCTACTTGGCTTATTGCGAAAACAAGATACGTGATCATATTTGCGCAAACCAAATATGAATCTTATACAAAAGTTTTGAAGACGCTCAAGTTTATCAAGTTGCTTCTCAGTGAGATCAAGATAGCTGACATCTGCATAGTCCACAATTGGGAGAAGAAGAGATTGAGCAAGCGAATTTTAGTGGCAGTAGGTAGAAAGTTCCTTAATCTGTTCAACGATCGGGCAGCTGCAAAAAGTTTACGACTAACCTCCTGTATCAGAATATAGGATAGAATCATGTTATGATAACTAAACAAGTGAGTTTCTAACTGATTTACCATGAATCCTTTAACTTTTTGAGCGCCAAAGTAGAGCAATGCAACATGAACGATTCCTCAGAAATCATTCGCATTTTGGAAAGCGTCGATGATGATTAATTTTGATTTTTGATTGATGATATATTACTTTGACCCTACAATTCGAAAATATACTTTAAAACTGGTCACGTGACCAGTCACTGGTCACTTGACCACACACAATGTATGTACACGATGTAATATATATATAGAGGTATGGTTCTGAGCTTTCTTAATAATGAACATAATAAGTGAGTTCTCGGTTTGACCGCTGTGACGACTAAAAATGGCCCCAAAGAAAAAGGTGGTAACTGAAAGACTTATTTTCAAATCAGAATTATATGGAGTGGTATTCAAAAAAGAAAAAAACTTCGACTGAAAAAAGTTTTTACTAATCCAAGTGCATTTTAGAATTTGGTCAACTATTACTTGTTAACTTTATAATTCTACTTAGCTGTGATAATTTTCCTTTTAACTTCATTATGTATGCTACTATTTAGTATACTTTTCACATTTTCAAAAACAGCTGTTTAGTTGGTAGAGGAGGGGGGACACATGACTCAAATAAAAAATACGACTTTAAAACTTGATAGTTCGCAAACTAAGCCTTGAATCGAAAAGATGTACTTCCATACCCCCAATGTTTTTAAAGACCTATCTAACGATACCCGACACGATGGAGTAGACAGTACACAGACAGTACTCAAAAGAAAAATGTTTTTACTTCACAGTTTTGTAGCATCTCGTGGAACGCCGTGACGAGCCACAACATCCATTGGAATGCCCTAACGTGCAGCAGCATTACGTGGCGTCACGCGAGACGTTTCGGTCTATTCGTGTCGAAATAAAGGAATGTCAGTGCCAAGACCATTAAAATAACGTCGAAAATCTTTTTTCCAGGAAAAAATCTTTTGACACACGGTACCATGCCGTGCAGTCTGTGAGCGTAGGCCCTAACTCTATTTTTGGCAATAACCTTGACATTCGAGTTATCGAGATTTTGCTGTATTTCAGCAATTATTCGCAATTTAAAGTCCTTTAGAAGCCCAGTTAGCAAGTTGACATCAACTAAATCATAGAATACATGATAGACATAATAGTGCTTCGTACCGACTCTACACTCACCTCCCCGCACTCATTTCAAATACCGCACCCCACCCCGCACTTCGTTGTAGACAACACTGACACTGGAACGAGGGCGCGCGCGTATTCGGACGGACCTGACCCGAACACACGATTTTACAATTTAAAAGATAGGTACCTATAATTGTGTTTTCATTACGATGGTTGTATATTGTGCTATATTTGGATGCTTTTCTACTTCAATGAATGATAAAGACAGGAGTTTCGGTTCCTATTATTATTATTACTCATCTACGATACGTTCTACCATAAATACGTAATAATTGAAGCGACAGTAGCCTAATGGCAGGGCGCGGACCCCGAACTCAAAAGGTCGTGGGTTCGAATCCACCATTCGTCTACTGTCGTGAACCACTCCTAACACAAGCATTTTCAGCTTACCAGGAGGGGGTTAAAGGGAATATTAGTAAGGTTAATTAATAGGATTACTAATATTTTACAAAATAAAAATAAATTACAATTAATAAATTTTCGTTACGATACGGTCATTTAGGTCGACGTTGAAGCCGCCCCGCCGCTTCATCGTCGGCCGCCGCACTTCCCTATTAAATTTCACGCACACATTTTCCTATGTAGTAGTAATAGGTAGTTGATTTGCGAGCGTTGTATGGAGTGTCCTGGTTCTGATTAAATATAAATATACAATAGCTGCTGCAAATGTTACGTGTAAGCAAAAACACTCACTTATGTGTACATGATAAAGATGAGAGGTTGTCACACAGTAAACGCAAATTATCACTGACCATACAAGTAGGAATGTACTAATGAGTCCTATCTCTCTCTTTCACAGCGAAGATCTGCGATAGTGGAAAGGATACGCTTGCGAGAAGAATGGTCCGCTTTGAAAGGTTCTGACGACGTTCCACCAGCTGCTGTTATCAGGAAAAGGCAGAACAGAATTTTGAAAAAGAAAGAGGACAATGTGGTTGTAAGCAATAATGACAAATGTGATGAAATTGGTAATAAATTTCGGATCAAAGTTGGAATGGAAAATTCAAGAGTGAGTACTATTCGTTACATTTATTATAGCCTAAACTACTATTATTATACGCCTAAACTACTATTATTATACATAGTAAGGTTACGCAGTTAGACCGGGGTCCCTCCCCACGCTCTCACAGAATACCAACATGAAATAGCTGCTTAATGCTAATGTCGTTCGTGTAGAGAACCGGAGACTTATTTCTGAAAATGAGACCTTTCATCTTAGCCGCAAAGGTAGCAACGCATCTAAATAAATAAATAAACATCACTTTATTGCCATTTTTAAAAAACGTGTACATATAAACTAATTACCTAACCTTAATTAAATTAGGACAAATGGAGGTGACTCAGCTTTTGCTTACATGGAACTAAGATCCCACGAAGTGCTGGTTTTCAGGCACTATTTCCTCCCTGAGATGTTACATGGGTGTTATGAGAATTTCGAGTTTCCCAATCACCTGTATCATTTACTCATCTATTATGGGAATTTAACATAGTATAGTTGTGAAATTTCATAATAATTTATTATTAATTCTTGCATTCCTACATGTGTGTGTGTGTGTGTGTGTGTGTGTGTGTGTGTGTGTGTGGGTGGGTGGGTGGTGCGCGTGCGTGCGCGTGCGTGCGTGCGTGCGTGCGTGCGTGCGTGCGTGCGTGCGTGCGTGCGTGCGTGCGTGCTCTGTGTGCGTGTGTGTGTGTGTGCCCGTGCGTGCGTGTGTGAGTATAATACATAGGGATGTTTTTTTAAGGGTTATACTAAAATGTTATAAAAGTCTCTTAAGTTTATGTATTTCCAGTAGGCATGTTTCAAATTTTCTGCAGCAATTTTCCGCTTTAGCAATGCTGATTTATATTTATCTTTGAAGGAAAGCAGTAGTCATTTTATTTCTCAGAGGAGGGGGCAAGTTGCATCTGCATTCATCATGGTTCTTAATTGAGTACAGATGAAGTTGCCTATGGGCCGCGGCATCCACTTACCATAAGGTGGATAGAGCGCTCGTTTGTCACTCTTCATGCATTACATTTCACGGCGGAACGTAAACCTCCCCCATAGATTTCTTCACAAGGGGGATATTTGCCGAATTTGCCACGATTAGCAGGCAGGTTGACAACTGCACCTATTTATTATTTTGAGCTGTTAACAGGAAGATGCTGCTGCCCATCTCCTGTTTGTTCCTGTTTTTTTAATATAAAATTGAAGTAAGAAACGAACTTACAGTTCATCTGATGGTAAGTGGTTCCTGCAACCCACGGACACCTGAAACCAACTTTAAAGAAGGCTACGGATACGTTGTCATCTCTGAGGACTGATGGAACGCCTCACGGCCTGCTATACTGTCTCTTTATCCCCTAAGACAAGAACACAGCTGTGCAAGCACTGGTTTTAGACTCAGAAATAGGTAAGAAGCAGGTACCTACTCAGATGGACTCGACCAGAAAAGGAGGTCTATTACCTTTTTTTATAGGATAGGGTGACAAACGAGCACACAGTCCACCTAATGGTAAGTGGTTGCTGTGGCCCATAGACATCTACATCTATCCTCGATTATGAATCAAAATAGTTACGCTTTGTCAACCATTAGGAATAAGATGGAGTGCCTCGTTTCCAGTAAAAAGGGTCTCTGGTTCTCTACACTCACCATACGAAAAACGGCAGCACTACGTTACTATTTTACGCTGGTATTCTGTGAGAGCGTGATCCTTCCCCGGTCGAGCCGACTCATTCGTGCTAAAATTATACTATAACTACAGCATGGCTCTATTACGTACCTAGTAAAAATTCGTCCGAACAGGGGTATGAAAGACTTCAGTAGCTTGCTTTTACTTTGATACACATTTTATTCAAAAGATGGCGTCACTGCTGATATTTGTTATTTATATTGAAGTCTAAATCACGCTATCAAAGTTTTGAAATACTGCAGTATATATACAGAATAACTACATAAGTTCTAAGTTCTCTTTCTAAGTTCTTGTTCTTAGCGGTCAGTCGCCGTAGAGTCTACATCACCTGAGGATGCCTCGTATATTATATAGTATATTATCCCATAATCGACCAAAATTCGACTGCACTTGTGAATTGCAAGAACTATACTAACTATATTTGAATACTTTTTATACAAGTAAGAGTGACAAACAAGCACACAGTCCGATGGTAAGAGAACCGTGCGGCCCATAGACAACATCTGTCCTCGACCAGTAAAAAAAGCTTATGATTCTCATATACAATAATAAACTGCTGTTTTAGCCCTTCCGCGATCCAGCCAACCCATTCATGCTGCAACTATAGTATTCAACGTGGTTCTATCACATGCCAAATGTACTGCTAAATATTACATAAAAAAAGAAACAATGCAATGTTTTATCTTGCGTTTGTTTAACTTTTCTTTTTTATTTAAACTGAGAAAAATTAACGGCTTAATATAAATCGATGTCACCTCAAGAAATTATCAATGGTACTCTTTTTGTAGAATACGGGTGACAAATATACATTCCACCTGACGATGTGGATGATGTGGCCCATAGACGTCTACATATTATATCTTTGATCAAGAATCAATATGCAGAATGCGTTGTCATTCATAAGGTCTAAAATGAAATGTCTCGTTTCCAGTAAAAAGTGTCTTCAATTCCCTTCACTCACCATACCGCTAATATTTTGCACGAGTGTGATCCTTGGCCGATCCCATTCGTGCTACAACCATAACATAGCTGCAGTGTGGCACTTCCATGATCTAATTATGGGTATAAAAATAAATAAAACTTCAGATTACCCGCGCAACGGTGGCAACCAACGAGGCACTCCGCGGTGTAGTGGCGTTGGTCGAAGTAGGGGCGGAGCACCGAGCGCTTGCCCTTAGGGCTGCGCTCACTGCTCTAGGAGCTACCGTCGTGCCAGCTTGGAGCCCTCTCGTTACGCATCTTATTTGGTCTGAGGGTGAGTTTGAATATATACCAATGATGCTACATCTTTTTAACCCACTTCAAGGAATGAAGAAAGAAGTTTCTCTTATCATGAAAAACAAACTTTATATCGTCTATAATGTATCGCCCTTAACTATTATTTTTAATACTAGTATCACTTTTTCCTGATTTAATGAAGCATAAAAGTTACTTTCTAGTACATTGGACCCCGCCAATTTTAGACCTATTTCTGTACTGCCAACCCTTAGTAAAAATTTTGAAAAAATTATTCTTGATCAAATATTAATTTTTTTCAATGTAAATAATTTACTACATAAAAATCAATTTGGTTTTATAAGGGGCCGCTCGACAACGGATGCTGGTGTTGAGCTAATTAAATATATTGTTACGAGCTTAGGGTTCGTGATCATAAAACTGCCGATTGAATTACCAAAATTGACGCTTTAATTACTGAGCACCAATTAAAACTTAAATCACACTAATAATTAATCATTATTCACTCCGAAAGCTTCACTCGTATCGCCAATTCAATACTGCCCTGGTCGCGGCCCCAATGGCCTTATAAAGGCCTTTTCCACCGAAACGTCCAGAATGTTCCAAAAAATACAGGTCCCGACCGACTAGATGTAGAAAATTCGAGTGTCGACTTTTCTAGAAAGCTTAGTTCTTCTATTCGATAATAGATGGCGCTAGTGCCATCAACTGTGACGGGCAATAATATCTTCAATGCATGGGAGAATTCACAGGCTGCTTTGGGTATATTCTGTTACCTATCTAAAGCCTTCGATTGTGTTCACCATGCATGATGTTTTGAGTGTATTCTGTGACCTATCCAAAGCCTTCGATTGTATTGATCATGAAACATTTATCAGGAAACTTCTACACTACGATGTAATAAGTAATGCTCTTAATTTAATTATTTCATATTTAAGTAACAGAAAGCAAAAAGTTGTTATTAATAGTAAGAGTTCTTCTGGGTCGATAGTACAAATGGACGTGCCTCAGGACTCAATTCTCGGCCCCTTTTTGTTTCTTGTATATATTTATTACTTACCCTTACATAGTAGGGGATAACCATGATATAGTATTATTTGCTGATGACACTTCATTCATTTTCATTATAGCCTATAAAAGCCCACTGCTGAACATAAGGCTTTCCTATTCATAGGAAAGATATTGCCATAGTTGCCACGCTAGGCAGACGGGTTGGCAGTTATTTTTTAATTATTTATTTTTATTTTTTTATTATCAGGAACAGTAGGTATCTTCAGTTTCGTTTCCCTCTGTCGCCTATTGCGGCGACATTGGTATATGATAGTGGATATTCTTACACCGCCACTACACCGTTGGTTTCCTGTATAAATACAAATATCTTGTATTTGTGCGATTTTTTTTAAATGAATTATTTTTATCCCTCTTTCATGTAATCTTTAATACTCATGGAAAGAGTAGTATACAAAATATTAAGGTTTTTAACTTTTTAGTACTTAGTCCACTTGGCTGCTACGGTAGGTTCATTTAAAAAAATAGTTTAGTTTTACATTTGCCCTTCATAATCCATTTTATGTGACTCTTCCATTATAGGAAGTATTGTAGAATAGAGTTACCGCATGTTACGGGCGTGAAAAGCGATTTTTAATGATTACTGCCAACTTTCTTTTTTTGATGATAACACTACCAACCTTCTTTTGAATTTTGGTAGTATTTTATTTTGTGGTCGTGGATGGAAAAGGAGAGATCTCCCGCCGGGCAAGGTGTTGTGCCCGGGGAATGGCCAACACTTCGTGTGTTAGTTCGGAGATGATCTATATATACTGTTTATGATTCGGAATGTTGATAGCGCGATTTAGGCTTCAGTGTATTTCGCTTGTGGCGCGACGACAGCGCCGCCACATCACCCCCTGCTCAGACCGGAGGTCGATAGTGCAGTCTCGTTCTCGACGAATGTGCAAGTGCCAGGAGATTGCCTTGTAGTCTGCGGTGAATCGAGAAGAAGGCAAGTAATCTGCGAGAGTGCCGTGAAGCAGAGGCGAGCAGTGAGGCTCAGAGCCGTGCCGAACACTGTATAGCGCAGAGAGAAGCTTGAAAGAACAGGAAGCATTATTATTCCAGTGCTGCGATGAACCTTGTGAAGCTAGATGGCTTGCAGGATATAAAGATTGCAGACGATATCTGCTCGGGAGCGAATGGGTGGGGTATTTTATACCGGGTCGGGTGGTCACCACGGTGATCGTGGATGGAAAAGGGGAGATCTCCCGCCGGGCAAGGTGTTGTGATTAATTATAAGATAATGGTGTGATTAATTTGTAAATTAAAATTCATATATATATATATATATATATATATATATATATACCCTTACAAATGGAGCTAAAAAAGTTTTACTTCAGTCGTGTGGTCATAAGCACACTCGTTTTTCTATAGCCAAAGGGTCATCGGAAAGGGTAGAACAACGTCTGCCTGGCCAAATATACTAATATTAAAGACTCGCTGCCTTAAAATGGGGAAACAGGATGGCAGGTTTGCCGTAAGGCCCGTAAGTGCTGCAGGTGGCGTCCTGTTTTGCCATTCTAGTCTAAAATTTGTATAATAAAGACTAGACTCAAAAACTTGAAATCCGTATCCGCGGATGTTAAAAACTATTCTTACTATGATTGTGTGTTTCCAGGCGGCTGTCGTAGTACTCGTGCGAAGGCCCGAGCGCTGGCCTGTCGCCTGGTTTCCCCACTCTGGGTGGAAGCCTGTGCGGCTAGTGGTCGTCGACTAATGGAAACCACTTTTCCAGCAGCTCCAAGACCCTCAGATCTACCTTCACCGAAAACCCTAAGACGTCTGCTGGTAAGTTGTTATTTCATCAGAAATTATTTAGAGTAATAATTTCTTTCTGAGAAGACTTACCAAGATTGTGATCCGTCTTCTTTCATATAAAAAAAATATGGCAGGAAATTTGTATTAATTTCGTTCGGTCACAGACGAGAATGCCAGATTTTTTTTTCATAATCCTAATCCTATCGTTTTATCATCATCATCATCATCATATCAGCCTATAAAGGTCCACTGTTGAACATAGCCCTCCCCCATAGATTACCTCATAGGGGGGATTTTGCCATAGTTGCCACGCTTGGCGAGCAAGTTGTCAACTGCAGTTTTTTATTATTTTGAGTTGTTATGAGGAAGATGCTGCTGCCCATCTCCTGCTTCAGTTTCCCTCTGCGCCTCTTACGACACCACGAGACGATAGCGAGTAGTAGATACTCTTACACCGACACCACACGGCTTTCGAAATATTTTATTTCGAAGTCATTTTTTTTTAAATATTTTACTAAGAGATTTAAGAGGATTGTGAAGCTGTAAATTTTCGTACAAAAAGCGATAACGTTTTCCCTCCCGTAAACATAGTCTAATTTTCGTAATTTTTGGAAATGTAAATATAATGAAAAACTAGGTACATACGTTTTTATTTTAAGCAAATATTGCGTACGATATAAGTTATTAGCTAAATATCTATGTTTTTGACTTAAAAACTTCTTTGAGCGTTATGTCTTTTTTTATTAAACTAAACTGAATTAGTAAAAAAGAAAAACGCACAGACCTAAATTAAAGTATACTGAATCTAATGGGACCAAAATTGTCTCATTTCGTTAAGATTTAGGGGGTGAAAACGTTATCGCTCGAAACGATTTCTTTTTAAATATAGGCAATTACTTCCAACATTTGCAACTCTATATCGCACGACAGCGATACGGAGCGAGCGATTTGAAACATAGCATTTTTGAAAATATTCACAATCTTCTTAAGGACATTTAATCTAAAATAGCGCTTAGGCCATACAAACGTATTTGTCTATTTTCTCTATACATTAAATAGATTGTAATGAATGATATTCCATTAAAAGGAATTTGGAATTTTTTCTACTACTTTATCGGCCTTTAAATGTCCACTGATGGACTTGGGCCCCTTAGTTTGTATTTATGTTTTTTTTTTTTTCATAAAATCACCTCTATTCAGTAATTTGTAATTTGTCTGAGGATTGTACTCTCGAAGACTTTGTTCATCACTGTAAATCAGCGTAGTGGTTTACCACAACTTACATTAAGTAATGACTGGATATGTACCTAGATATGTACCTATGTAGAGGCTGCAACTCGAGAACCTTTTTTCCCAACGGTTGTCGGTTCTTCGAGCTATATGGCCGGCCCATTGACACTTCAGCTTACTAATCCATTGAGCTATGTCGGTCACTCTCGTTCCACTGCGGATATCCTCATTTCTAAGTTTATCACGCAAAGAAACCCCGAGCATAGCCCTCTCCATAGCTCGCTGAGTGACTTTGAGCGTCCTCATATGGCCAGCAGTGAAGGACCATGTCTCGGTTCATGAGGTACACCTCAAAACTTGAAAACCTACGGTGTTTGTGAATATCGTTGAGAGTAGACGTGCAGCTTGTTGTTTGAAGAACTATTTAAAAAAGTGCATACAAACTTGACTTTTAAAAGTGGCAACTTTTCGGTGCATATTCGTGTATTCAAATCTCTGTGACAATCTACAAAGTTTGTAACGATCTATCGAACGTGGATAATTGTTTCTTTGTCTAGCATTGCATCTCACGAACCTGAAGGGCGCCCGCACCTCACCTCCGCTAGCAAAAGACAAGTGCATATTTTTGTTCTCACTTGTGTATTTACGATGCAACATACACCTCCGCAAAAGATAAAGTATATGTCAAGCCCAGATCTGCACAGTGAAATCGATTCTACCAATAACTTCGTTACTTGTAGAAAGCGCAAAGAAATGGACGACGTATCCGAACATAGTACGATATTTTCCAACAATATCTTAAACGAAAAATATACTTATAGAAAAATTTGTGACAAACTCGGTGCGCTCTGTTTTGTCTGCTGAGCTCACCAAAATAACGGATGCCTTAACTAACATCCAGTTGGCCGTAGCCGGGATAATTTCAGATAATACTGCTTTAAAAAATTCGTTACTGGAAATTAACAATATGGATTAAATAGTGGTGTTATTTTAAACAATGGGTGCGTTTGGCAGAAAAAAGCGCTAGCAAGCGCTTACTAGCGCTAAAATAGTTTTCGGCCAGGACACGATTGCTACTTCAGTAGCGCTGACACAATCCGCCATTTTGCTTATTTATTTTGTTTGTTTTGAAATAGAGTTTATAAGTTGTTTTTTTTTGCAATATTAGTTTTAAGTAATATAATGACATGAATGAAATATAATGAATAAATTTAATATACATGTTATTAAAAATTCATGATTGGTAAATTTTTAATATGAATACTTCACAAACAATATTTAAATTAGGTTAGGTTCCCCGGTTAAAATTAACTTCGTGTCCTAGAGGAAAATAGCTACTTACGATTTGACAGCGCTTACCGCTTACGATCGCCATTTTGCTTACAAGCGCTTGCTAGCGCTTTTTTCTGCCAAACGCACCCAATGACAGGTTGGACTTAAAACGAATAATATTTAACATTGTTCTAGTATGTACTCATTCTCCTTTCTCTTATTATATTTTATTTTGTGAGGTAAATTTAATTAAATATCAATTTGCTAATACTAAAATTTTGCTGATAAGCATAAGTACGTGGGGCCTTATGAATGTTGTTTACATGTTATTTAAAATACTAAGTTGGCTGTTGATCAAATCGGGAAAAATAGTCGTTGTTTATGTTTTTACTCGTAATCTTAGGAAATAATTATTATAACTGTTGATGTCTATTTATTTATAGGGTTACATATAATTCAATATATTATATTAAACATACATAAATATAACATTATTATTTCAGTAACAGTACAATTTCTTACATTTAAAAATGGATAGCTTGTCTCTTTACTACCAAAACTTCCGAGGGCTTCGAACCAAATTACATACTATATATACGAACATTCTTTCTCATGCATATGATGTAATTATTTTAACGGAAACATGGTTACATACTCATATTTATGATAACGAATTCATTGATACCGGATATACTGTGTATAGATGCGACAGAAATCGTGCTGCGTGTGACCGCAGGGACGGTGGGGGAGTGCTAATAGCGGTACGCCGTACGCTTAGCGCTGCCGAGGTCCGGACTTCTTTGCTCTGCGTCCGCACTTTCCCCACTGATAGATTACGTTACACTTGAGATTAGGGGTGGCAAAAAACTCTATCTATTAAATGCTGTCTATATTGCGCCTAACCAAAAGAGTGATGTATACTTGAGCTATATAGAATATTTGTCTGGTATAGTTAATCAATACCAATTATGTAATAATTTTTATCTAGTAGGAGACTACAATATGCCATCTATAGATTGGAATGATATGGATCTTAATTTTGAAACTAATTATTTTTCCGATATTTGCAAATTTTTTTTACATTGCAATAGTTTAATAAATTTTATATCACTTTATAATTTTACACAAATTAATACATATAAAAATTCAAATAATTTTATTCTAGATCTATTTATTACTTAAATGACTATATATTATGTCCAGCCCCTATTCCTTTAGTAAGTACTGATAAACATCATTCTCCATTTTATGTAATAGTACCTATTGCCGTGAAGATACGAGGCATGCCGATTAAACACACACGTTACTGATTTGAAAGTGCGGACTACGTATTGATTAATAAAGTAATATTAGATACTGAATGGAAGGGTTTGATGAAAGATGACGTTTCTGCTGAAGCTGCTGTGGACTTATTTTATGACGGAATATTTGGTAATATTCGCAAATATATAGTAAGGAAAACTGTAAAAAACAGCAATTATCCTAAGTGGTTTGATTCATCATTGATACATATCTTCAAAAATAAAAATAATGCTTGGGTTAAATGGAAAAAGTACGGAAATTTAGCAGATTATAAAACATTTGCATTGTACAGAAAACGTTTTAAAACTGAATCTAAATTACATTATGCTCATTATATGGATACTGTCGAGAATTGTGTAAAGCAGAATATTAAATATTTCTGGAAATATGTAACAAATTGCAAAAGCAGCCTAGAAACTCCGTCAGAATTTTTTTATAAAGACAAATTGCTAATGCTAGTAACCCCAAGGAAGTATGTAATTTATTCTCAGATTTTTTCTTTTCGGTATTTGAATCCACTTCAGTCACTGACTATTTTAATTATGATAACATTAATATACCAAATAATATCATTTCTGATTTCGTTATTACTGGCATTTCTATTTTTGAAAAAGATGTAACAAAGTCCTTTTAAATTTAGACGCGAATAAAGGAGTTGGTATTGATAACATTCCTCCTTATTTTCTGAAAGCTACAGCACATACTATTGCAAAACCAATTCATTACCTTTTTTAGTAAATGCTTAAAAGAAGGGATATGCCCATCTATTTGGAAAACTGCTCGTGTTGTTCCAATTTACAAGGCAAGCTCAAAAAAAGATGTTGAGAATTACAACCGGTATCGATCTTATCAACACTCGCTAAAACTTTTGAAAAATATCCTAGCCTTCACAATATAATAATTCCACAGTAGCACGGTTTTATTAAGAAGCGTTCAACTATATCTAACTTATTAATTTATACAAACTATATAACACCATCTGGATTCTTGGCGGTCCACTACTGTACGTTTCAGGAGTTTTATTCCGCGTACGACCTCTCTGTGGAATAATTTACCACGGCGATTACTTACTTGCCGATGTATGAACGACCTGGGGACCTTCAAGAAAAGAGCTTACTCCTTTCTAAAGGGCCCGCAACGCACCTGCAATTCCCCTGGTGTTGCGGTTGATCATGAGCGGCGGTAATCATTTAACATCAGGTGAACCGCATGCTCGTTTGCCCCCTCTTCTATAAAAAAAGCTATGCACAAATTCAACTGAGAAATACCTAGGAATATCGAGAGGCAAGCTGCATAATAACAAAGATCCTTCATGATGGAATGAAGAAGTAAAGACCGCGTTACAAGACAACTATGGCAGAGCTCGAGTTTAAACGACGACAATACAAAACCGCTAAAAAGCTGGCGAAGTGTAAAGTGGCGAAGCAAAGAAATGACTCCAGGGAAAAGTACTACCAACGACTTGAAAACGCAAAAAATTATAATGATCAATGATTTCAAAAGGAAGGATAGGCCCATCTAAATATTTTACTCATAACTTTTTCATACAAGAAAAAGTAGCGCTTCTGTCATAATACAAACGTCATATCAAAACACCACGTAATCAGGGTCGGATTTCGTAGTATAATTATCTTAATTGTACCATTATTTCATACTTTGTTGTATTATATAGTATCGTAATAATACTAAGCGATAAAACCATAATTTTACATAATACAAGTCGACCTTTAGGGTCGACTTGTATTATTATTGGGTCCTTTTACATTTTAATATTAACCCTACGATATCGAGAATTTCTGTATTGTACATGAGTACCGCGTTTTTTAATAAAATTAGAATTAGCTCCCTTTCTGGTCAATTGATGAAAAAAGAAACATAAAACGTCAAACGTGATATAATTTTTTTTAAATAGTATAATTTTATTTTCCATGTACAATATTTTTGAGGGTCTGAATCCAACCCTGGCCTAATCTTGGTAACGTAACTAAACTAACTGTAAAATAAAACTTAAAAATGCGTTTATATAATAATTTAATTGTAACAAAATTAATATAAGGTTATTTACCTCTCTCGCTATACACAAAACTAGCTGGACAACAGAAGTAAACTTTAGTAAGACGAAACATTCCAGGACAGCTTTAACTATTCAGGACTTAAATGGAACACTGATGCGAATCGCGATCTAAAAAGCTGAATAATCGTTTTTTTTTTCAAACGATAGTCGGGCAATATCATATTCGGCCCTATATTTAGTAATGACCTTTTTTAGTATGACTTTCGACGTACAAAGACATTTTTTTATGAATTATTTCTATATTGTAGTGTTGTGTAGGTCAATGGTTAATGGCAAAATAAAGTTTTTCTTTTTTCTTTCTTTCTAGATAAAGGCGGAAATGGAGAACATACCCCTGGCGGACTTGCTCTCCGACAGCAAAGAGGATGAAAATGAAATGAAGCCACGTCTGCGGATTTCCAGCGAAACGGAACGCGATATATCTACTGACAAATCGACGGACACGTCTGCAGACACGTCGCATGACTTGACAAGGGATCAAACTGGTAAGATGTTATGTAATTTCTTTTTATAAAATCCAAGTCTGTAATGTGTAACGTGTGTGTGCTAGTGCGCACGTGTGTGTGCGTGGTGTCGTGTGAGCGTGCAAAGTGTGTGTGTGTGTGTGTGTGTGTGTGTGTGTGTGTGTGCGCGCGTGCGTGCTTTCGTGCGTGCGTGCGTGCGTGTGTGTGTGTGTGGATGGGCGTGCGTGAGTGCATGCGCGTGTGTTCGTTGGTGCGAGTGTGTGTGTGTGTGTGTGTGTGTGTGTTAATGTGCATGCGCAGTCTTTAACGGTAATACAATAAAGCTAATGTATTCGCATAAAAAATACAGACATAGAAACACGTGTCAACACGGCACCTCGTCGTGCTTTGCCCATCTCCACTATATCCCCGCGGCCAACCAAGTCCAGGAGAAAACTCTTCACACAGAAAGAAGCCGATATTTCAAAATCTGGTGGAAACGAGACCGGTAAGAAGTTAATAAATTAATTTAAAATTAAAAACCTTCCTATCTCACTCACTCCTTCACTATTTTTATCTTCTTTCTCTCCCTCCCCTACTCCCCCTTTCTTTTTCTCTCCCTCAGTCTTTCCTACATCAACGTATGTATCAAGTTAAAATTTTATTAAAAAAGAGTCATGCTTAGTTATTGCGAACGAAAATTATATCATTACTAAGTAGAATATTGCATTGGTAAAGTTGCAGGCAGTTTCGAAGATTTATTCGTTTAAAATTAGCAAATATGTCCAACTGGGTTTTTCCCAGATGCTGACGAGACACCAGTCCGTCGGCAGCGGCCACAACTGACGCAGCACGAGCGCCGCGAACTGGCCAAAGCGGAACGCATGGCTCGCCGCCTGGCCGCCGCGCACGCACACAGGCACGCGCATCCGCCCGCCGACGCACACACGTACAGAGTCGTGAGTATTGATGAAATTCGTCATACACAACACATCGTATGTTTCACAGAATAGAAGTAACAAACGAGCACACAGTCCACCTGGTAGTAAGTGGATACTGTGGCCCATAGACTATCCTGGAACAAAAATTTAAATGCAGAGACATTGTCATCCCTGAGGCCCAAGATGGAATGCCTCGTTTTAAGTAAACAGAAGCATTAAGCTGCTATTTCATACTGGTATATATTCTAAGTGGGTTATTTTTCAAAGAGTATATAAATTTTATATTTAAGTTTGAATATATCAATTAAAATTATACACCACGCATTCCATAGAATACTATAATACACAATAGAATGGCTGTCAAACTTATTTTGTACGAGATCCCGCGTCGCCGCGCCGGGAGCACTCATACAAGTAATTACGCCGTATTATCACTATTACAAACCCGGTTCGCTGTTTAATAGACTGAGTTGAGCTGTTTAATAGACACATGTTAGACTTTTAATTAATGTTCAAAATCATCATTAAAAAGTCGTTTAAATTTTAATACATATTTATTTGTAAATAGCGTGCAACTTGTTATTTTCTAAAAACGGACAAAATGTTTGAGATTTTGAACCTTCCTTTCAAATTTTGGCGTATATTGCAAAATAACCCTCTATGTAATGTATACATATATTTATGTTATATTTTATTATACATATATACATGAGGCTTTGGTCCAAAGAAAAGAAGACTCACACTCTATTCCTATCTTGTATATCGTTGCGTTCTGAATTAATTGAATCATCACAGATCATCTTTGCTACTACAATTATATCATTTTTTAAGACAATGGAAAACTTATTATGCCCCTAAAAATTAAATTCTTACTTACATATTATATTAGTTATAATTTCTAAACATAACATAAATCATGACCATCCAAAAAGACAGTGGGTTGCAACAAGAAAAAGACTCGGGTAGTAGTGTTGCCACAACACAAAACCCACACTGTTTCTGTCGGTGCCTCATTATGGCAAACCCTCCCTAACGGGAGAGACCCGTGACTACCGTGACTACGGTATATTACAAGGTGGTGAATAAAAAGATTAAGGTGATGATCAGACTCTCTGTATTGGTGTTATTAAAACATTATATGAAGAAATACACATAGAACAACAAAAACCCATACTAAATTTCTTTCTCAGGTATTAACCGGGATGTCTAGGTCGGAACGACTCGCCGCTTACAACGCGATTCGAACCTTGAACGGGCGCGTGCAGAAACAAGTCAACCGGAAAACTACACACGTACTCCTTGGCTCGTGCTGCGAGGACTCTCCGGAAGCTAGTCCAGAGAAAAATATAAAAAATAAAAGCACGAATAAAAACCATGAAAACAATAGCAATAGAGTAAACAGTTCAAACATGACAGTAATGGGCGAAATGGCGCCAAATGAAAACAATATGGCGTCGGTAGTCGACAACATGGCGTCGAAAACACAAAAATTACGAACGGTTAACGCTTTATTGGGAGCGGCGAGAGGTTGTCGTGTTCTATACGCAAAATGGGCCACTGATTGCTTGGCAGAGAAAAGATGGCTCCATCACTACGGGTATGAGGTGCCGCATTTGAGAAAAATATCGTTAGTAAGTTTTTTTTTTGTTTCTTCATTCATACAAGGTTAGGTAAATTAGTGTTGAAGTTTTTTCGCCAAATTGCAATGAGTTTGTTGGCAGTACACGCTATTAAAACTACACTATTATGCACCATAACAAATAAGCAAACTACAAATAAAATTAATAATAAAAGTAATAAGTAATAATCAAAGCTACTACAATTAATTACAAAAGTAATATATTATATTATGATGCGATTGACCACCGTTCGAAACTTAGTTCAGGCAACTTTAGCAATGAAAACATTACTGAACAGATTAAGGACCTTTAACCGACAACCGATGGGGAAGAAAGGTTCTCGAGTGGCAGCTTCGTCCCGGGAAGCGAAGTTTAGGGCGGCCACCACTAGATGGAATGACGACCTGGTAAGAAATGCAAGAATGCTGATGTTAAGTGAATGCTGTGGCCTATAGACATCCACATTTATCCACGATTAAGAATCAAAATGCAGATACGTTGTCGCCCCTGAGGACTAAGATGGAATACCTCGTTTCCATTGAAAAGACTATCCGATTCTCTAGAATCATCAGCACCATACGAAACAGCAGCAACAATGTGCTATTTTGCGCTAGTATTCTGTGAGAGCGTGGCCCTTTCCCGGTCGAGCCGACCCATTCGTGCTACAACCGTACTATAGTTGCAGCCTGGCTCTACCAGCCTAGATTTACGGTAAGAACGATAGATCCTGTAAGAAACCGGCGGGCCGTGACGTTTTAAATAGGTAATGTGTGGCGATTTCCACCAGGACCGCTCAGATCCTTCGTCGTCGTCATTACAGCCCTTCATAAGTCCACTGAACATAGGTCTCCCTTGAACAATGCCACAAAGCACGGTCCTAAGTCACCTGCATCTATTGTCTTCCTACATCTCTTGCTAGGACGTCATTTCATCTAGCGGGGGGGGGGGGCTCTCTACACTTACTTACCTTTCTTCCCATTGGTTGTCGGTTCTTCGAGCTGCATGGTCGGCCAATTGCCACTTCAGCTTACTAAAACAGATGAAATACAGAATTATTACAGTGTATAATTATTATTGTCATGGTATAAAAATATGATGCTGCAAAACTCCAGATTATCATCAATGACGGGTGTCGGAGTATATGTATGTATGTACCAGGGTGGTCTGAAAAGCCTCCGACCTCAACGTAAAGATGGCAGCACTCGTCAATAAAAGCTAGTGATTGTAGTTGTGCATCTTTTGACAGTTACGAGTACGCATCAAAATTTCAGCCATTTTGGACGCGTAGTTTTTATTTGCCAGTCGTTTGAGTGAGTCTATATGTTTTGATGATCGAGTGTTTTTGTGAAAATGGAAAAAATTTAGTATCAAGCTGTCATTAAATTTGTTTTTGAAAGGCAATACTCCTAGTCCAACTCATCTTTGAATTGCATAGTTGGGCTCTATGTATGGAGACTGCATTTACCATAGTGAAGTTTTGGGCAGCGGAATTTAAACTTGGCCGTCAGAGCTTGGGAGACGATGAACGTTCGGGACGTCCAAAAACATCGCTAAAGTTCACCAAATGGTGCTAAAAGAGCACCGAATTCAAGTGAGAAAGATAGCAGAGGCTATGAAAATGTCCAAATAACGTGTTTGTCACATATTAAATCAAGATTTAGCTGTCAGCGCGTTGGGTGCCACGTTTTCTCAAGTTAAACCAAAAACTTGTTTGAACATTTCCAACGCTCTGTTGGCGTAATTCAGGCGCAATAAATCCGAGTTTTGGCGTCTGTTAATTACTGTAGATGAAACTTGGATACACCATTATACGTCCGAAAGAAAAATACAGTCAAAATAGCGGATTGCAAAGGGGAAACCGGCTCCAAAAAAAGGCAAAAACTGTTTTTTCGGCTGGGATGGCGACTGTTTTTTTTTTTTTGTATAATCATGGAATTATATTAATCGATTATTTTCTAAAATGAAAAACCATTACAAGAGCATACTACGCATCATTTCTTGACAAACTGAAAGCAGAAATTGCGGGGAAAACGGCCACATTTGCAAAAAAAGAAAATCCTGTTTCCCCATGACAACGCGCCGTCTCACACTTTAACGGTTACCATGGCATGGAATAACGGTTTGAACTGCTTGACCATCCGCCTTAGCGCTCCTACGCAGCAGCGGCTAACCGCAGGGTCAATATGTAACTGGTTGTGGTCGTACCCACTTACGGGATGTTGGGAATTGGAGGCGGTTTAGTTTGCGGCAAGCCGACGTGTTTGTACGCGTTTTGAGTTTGAGTTGCGCAGCCATGAACATGGACATAGAGAAATTCATTGTTGAAATTCAACAACGAGAAGCTATATGGAATTTTGAAGTAGCATCATATAACAATAGAGATTTAAAGCGGAAACAATGTTAATGACGATCCAGTATATTTTTTCTTTTATTCTTTCATTTATTTTTGAGAGTAAAAATAGATAAGACAAGCTACCTTGATGGCGTCCATTTCGTTTATGGCCCAACAAGCCTATTGAGCGATATAACCGCTTATTGCGGTTGGCCTCCATAGCGGTCAGACGCTATTCCAACCGCGTCATGCGGCTGGTCGCTCAAACGAACCGCCTAGGCGGCCAACCGCTAGTGCGCAAGGGGCCTTACTTACCAAATCTAGCCCCGAGCTACTTCTTTTTGTTTCCTCGTCTAAAAATTGCGCTCGGAGGACAAAGATGTTCGTCAAATGAAGAGGGAATCACCTTCGTGAACAATTATTTTGCAGAGAAAAATGCCGAGAACTATTTGGACGGGTTAGAGAGATGGGAACATCCATTCTTAGGTCGGAAACTTTTCAGACTACCCACGTATGTATGAGTTAGTCTGGTTGTGAGGGTTATTAAATGTGGTTTCCCTGTGGCTTTTAAAATATTAAAATAACAACCGAACTAACAGTCCACCTGATGGTAATAATTTATTTATTTTAGGTTGGTATCTACCCAGTTGGACACCCACTACCGACTAGTGTGAACTGTTATTGTATATATTTTTTAATGTACATATAATGGCGTAATATCATGCCACCAGCATCTTCCAGATAACAACCCAAATTAATAAAATAAATAAAATTAAAAAATCGTTGGCTGCCTTTTTCTTTCTCGTGGGGACCCTTTAGCAGGGAACTTTTGCTAGGCTATAATAATAATAATAGTCCCGCATCGTCCGCCGGTTTCTTGCCCGTCCCCCCTGCTCCCCTCCCCTGCCCAGGACTTCCATCTAGGTGGGTTTTTATTTATTTATTTATGTTAATATATTTAATGTATATTTATCATTTTCCTTTATATATTTATTCAGCCCAAGCAGATGAGAATACTCTATAAATACTCCAAAATAACTTATTGGCAAAGTGGTGAAACGCAACCGTCGGAACTACTCCGTCGCCGGGATAGACTACAGAAAGGCATTCTACTCGGCTACATGCTCGGATACATGGCTTAAGAAGATCCTCGAGCTGTACAAGACTGACTGTACGGTAAGAGACTTCCTCGAGCAGCGTATGGGGCAGTGGAGTACGATCCTTTATAACCTGGGCGAGGGGATGATGGCTGCGGAGAACCACATAAGTATGAGAAGGGATATCTTCCAGGGCGATTGTCTGAGTCTAATCTTGTTCTGCCTCTCTTTGAACCCTCTCAGTACTTTACTGGAGGGCTCCGGGAGGGGATTTCAGCTTCGGAAAGGAGGTACAAAAGTGACCCATCTTTTCTATATGGATGACCTCAAGTTATTCGCGTCCATTTGCTCCCATCTTGTGGAATAGCTAAACATCACTTGTGATTTTAGCAATTCTATTAGAATGGAGCTGGGAACCGATAAGTGTGCGGTCCTCTGTGTTGAAAAGGGAAGGGTTGCTAACTCTTAGAGCATTGATTTATCTATTTCCGTTAACTTGAAGACCCTTTCCGAGGCTGAAACATACCGATACCTGAGTATATCACAGAACATAGGTATTGATGAGGCTGGTATGAAACAGTCAGTTTACAACGGGTTTTATGCACGCTTGACCAAAGTGCTTAACAGCCTTTTGTCCAGTGTGAATAAGACACACGCTATAACAGTTGGGTCATGCCTGTCCTCATGTATACCTTTGGCATACTCAGGTGGTCTTAGACTGAACTTAACGCACTGGATAGAAAATACCGCACTATCATGACGTCCCATAAAGTGCATCATCCAAGATCGTCGATAATGAGGATGTCAAGTACATCGCGAAAGGTGGGCGTGGCTTTTTAAGCGCGCTCACCATGCATAATCACGAAGTATGCAGCCTCCGTAATTACTTCCTGGTGAGATTGGATGATCCATTCTATAGGGACGTCATTTCTTGTGATAAAGAATTAACCCTCTATCCTTAGCCAACGAGCAATGGCAGAACCGTGCAGTACATAGCATTACCGACCTGGAGACCGTATGGAAGGGGAAGGAGTCCTATGGGAGGTTCTAAAAATCTCTTTATGAGCCTTTCGTAGACACAGTAGCCTCTCTTCACTGGCTACGCTTTGATGAACTCTTTGGGGAAACCGAGGGTCTTGTCTGTACAACACAGAACCAGGTTATTAAGACCAACAACTATCGGAGATACATACTAAAGATTTGCACCGTCGACATCTGTTGAGCTTGTCGCCATCCCGGTGAATCACTTAGGCATGTTCGGTACTTTCAAACTCTGAGTACTTGCACAGGCACAACCTGGTAGCCAGAATTCTACACCAGGAGCTCGCTCTGAAATACGGTCTCGTGGACCGGAAATTGCCGTATTAACAAGTGCTTGCCGGAAGCCGTGCTCTAAAATAATCGCGCCAGGCTCTACTGGGACAGGGCCATCATCACAGACAGAACTATTCTTGCGAATAAGCCTGATATTGTGCTGATGAACCAGGCACAGTCAAGGAAATTTAATTTTGGTTGACATTACCATTCCGTATGACGAGAACCTCGTGAAAGCCGAAATTAATATATCTGGACCTGGATCACAGGCGACTGACATATGGGGTGGTCTGCCGAACTAAATTATTCCTGTAGTCGTTTCTGCAAACGGGCTAATGTCGGGCTAAACTCCGTGATGGACCGCTACGGTCTCAAATGCAGAAGGCGGTGCTCCTCGATATCGTCCGCCGATTTCTTTCCCTTTCCCCTAACCTTCTGCCTTTTGGTCTCCCCTGCCGAGGGTTTTCATCTGGTTGGGCTTTTATTTATTTATGTTTGTATATTAAATATATATTTATGTATATTTCTAATTTCATTTTATATATTTATTCAGCCCAACTAGATGAGAATACTCTGTGAATACCCCGGGTAATTTATTGCTTGAAAACAAGTAGTAAATTGTTACAATATTATTACTGTAATTTTGTAGCATATCGTAATACATTGTGAGTAAGAATAAGATTGCAACAAAATAATTAATTTTGTTATTAGTAATGTTTGTAAAAGAGTATAATATACCGTAAATATATCTGAGGATATGCATCATCATTATAGGCATAGTTACCACGCTAAGCAGGCGGGTTGGCAACACTTTTTTATTATTAGCTTTTTTCTCAGAAAGATATTTTCTGTTCATGTCCTTTTTTCCCTCCGCCCTCTTATAATACACCTAAAACAATATTGTCCACAGAAAGCGCGAGTGGAACGCACGGCGCTAGGCAGAATGCGCTCCGAATATGCGTATGACGTATTCAACGGTATGCGAGTGCGCGTTTCGCCTAACGCCGAGCAGAAAGACGCCGTAATCCAACTGCTAACACTCTGCGGCGCTGTTGTGCAACATGGCAGTAACGCACAAAATGGCGGAGTAACACAACATGGCCGCCAACTGCAAGATGGCAGCGTTTCACAACATGGCCGCCTCCAAAACGCATGGGTCACTCGAAAGAGGAATGCGCAAAATGGCGGCCCGATTTCAGCGGATTACGATATAATTGTAGGTGTGGAAGACGGTCAAGTTAGTTCGAAATGGGTTTTCGATAGCGTGGCGGCATCTAGAATGAGGACTGCTAGGCGATATGTTAATAATACGGTTTTAGAAGCTTCGAGAATTCTAAGTCAAGAGTGTAGCAGATGGTAATTTATTTGTGATATTTATAAACTAATTTATACTTTACATATAGTTAAAGAAACAGTACGTTTGTTGCTGTTTTGTAATTTATTTGTAAGAATAAAAATCATTTCGATATTTAGAAGAGCATTTTTTTCTCTATTTTTGTTAATACCCCGTTGAAGTGATTTCTTACGTGGTAGAGCCAAGCTGTAGCTATATTTTGGTTGCATCACGAATGGGTCGGCTCGACCGGGGTGGAACCACCAGCTTAATTCTGCTGTTTTTCGTATGGTGAGTGTAGAGAATCTGAGGCCCTTTTTACTGGAAACGAGGCATTCTATCTCCATCCATCCATTTCCTTCGGTATTTCGATTCTTAAGTGAAGATAAATGTAGATGTCTATGGACCACAGTATCCACTTACGATCAGGTGAACTGTGTGCTCATTAGTCTCCCTAATTCTATAAAAGAAGTAATATGTACTACATACTAGAACAGTCACCGCGAATATAATCGGGCGCGTGGGAAGAGGCACAGAATAACTTTTTATGGCAAAGACTAAGTTAGTTTGAGCCCGTGGGCTCTAATGTGTGTTGCAAACAACCAAGCATCGGTGTCTCTTCTCGGACTTCTTCAACTAGTAACGGTAGTCAAATATGGACCTCTGCCTTGATACAGAGTATTTACTAATATGCCAAGCTTGGCAGACGAACCCCGTTGCTAATTTGATAACTTACATATTAGTGCATTAAATATATCATTCCATGGGTGTGATTAAATCTGAGTCAAATAAAAACAGAAGATTGGGAGCAGCAACCTCTTGATAACTCAGTAATAATAAAATACTTTTATTTGACAAGCCAAGTATAGCACCTATGCCAAATATCTCATAGTACTCTTACGACATCCATGAGGGGAACGAGTACGACGCGTTTAAATATTCGTTTCATTTGCATTCATTCAACGTAGAACTTTGAAACATGTATGACGCACGTCATCGAATCACTTGATAGTTATACACTTCCAAATATTTATTTGGAGGGTGTAACCCCCCCCCCCTCCCCACTAGTTGGAGCAATCACCTGGTAAGATATGCAAGAAATCGATGGGTGCAGGTTGCTCAGGACCGTGCTTTGTGGCATTCCTTGGGGGAGGTTTATGTTCAGTGGACTTGTGAAAGTAGTGATGATATAATTTGAGGGCGTTTCTTCGTGGAAACTGGTTGATAATTAAAATAAACCCGGGTCATGGGTCACGGGTCCTCCTTGATAAAGTTCTATAAAAATATTGGAATCGTTACTACTAACAATCACTTTAGGTAGGTATTTTAGGTAATTTTTTTAATTATTTTATAAGAAAAATAAAGTTTAACGATTCACGGATCAATAAGTAACGATAAACGAATAATGACGTATATATAAACACCAATACGAATACACACGAGCGTTCCTTTTACTCGCGCCACAACATCTGAGCTGAGCGGTACTAGTGGTGACGGAGTTAGTGCACGCAATTGAGGGAGGGCGGGAGGTGCTCTTCAATCCAGGTAAGACACATCATTGTAATTAATTAATTAGTTAGCGGACGGTTGCAAAGTAATAAATTATTTATTATAATGGATTTCCGCAAAGTAACGCCTGATTCTATCAATTAGTTTTCACTTCAACAACATGGAATATAAAAAAATAAAAGCAAGTGGGCGGGGCAAGCGTATCTAAAATAGGAGCCTAATTAACTGTCAGTAGCGGGCTTAAATTGTCGCGAGCTAACGTGTCGCTGCTTAAGTACAATGGGAAAACATGCAACTCAACAGCTTATCATCATCATCATTACAGCTCTTCACAAGTCCACTAACATAGGCCTGTCCGAAGGAATGGCACCAAGCACGGTCGTCACTCCATCTAGTGGGGGGTCGCCTTACACTTCACCTATCTAAACGAGGCTGTCACGCGAGGATCTTTTTTCCCCATCGGTTGTCGGTTGTTGTCACATAATTAAGAACCTCATCACTGGCAACACGCACTGGTTGTACAGACTCGTTTTTAAGTTTTGAGGTATACCTGACGAGAAGATGTATCGTAATTACCCAACCGCTGCCCAGCCGAGTTGAATCCATCGAGTGACCGAAGTTGAATCGAAGTTGGACTTACTTAGTCGGATTGTTTGTCCCAGTAAAATCTCATCAACATCAACATAAAACCGACATCGAATGGAGAACAGACGAATACTCGGGCCGAATAGCGAGACCGCCCGAGCAAGGCGTTTACATGCTCGTACTCGTGCCTACTCGTCTGTGTTCCGCGAGTATGTAAACGTTGCATTCTCCAGACAAACGGCAAAAAATTGACAAAACTTATTTTATAAATTTCAATGACATATTATACCAGACAATGAACATTAATTTTGAAGGACAAACACTAAAAAGTACAAAAAGTATATGGATAGATCAAAAACTAAATTGGAAATGTCAAGTTGAACATGTATGTAAAAAATAAATAGATTTTCGTACGCACTTTATAAAGTAAGCAAAGTAGCCACAAAAAAATACAGCACTTACTGCGGACCTTGCATATTTGGTATCCGTTCTGCGATACGGGCTTATTATATGGGACAAAAGCACAGATGCAAAAAAGGCATTCGTTACCCAAAAAAAATGTATTAGAGCAATATGTGGCATTGCACCTGATGAGCCTTGCAGGCCGCTATTTGTGTCTCTTAAAATACTACCCCTCACACCACATTTTTGAAATTGCAAAGACGACAACCGTCACCCTCATCACTATCGCCATACACAGGAGCTGATACCCTCCGATTTTGCACCCAGGAGGAACTTCTGCGAGTGGTACCTCAGGCATTTAGAGGAAAACCCTAATTACGTAAACTATATTCTTTGGACGGACGAGGCAACATTCATGAGGTCAGGACTTTTAAATATGCATAACGATCACGTTTGGGCTCACGTGAATCCATATGCTTCACGGCGGGGCAGATTCCAACACCAGTAGCGGCTGAATGTGTGGGCTGGCCTGGCCGGGCATGTCATCGGTCCCGACATTATGCCATCACGTCTGAACGGTAGCAACTATCAAACGTTTTTACAAATTGAATTCGAAGAGGCGATTAACTACTTTTTTGTGGCTAACTGGGATCACTTTGAGAACCAATGAAACATGGTGTTGCAGCATGGTGGAACTCCGGCACATTTTGCTCGCAACGTACGAGAACATCTTAACGTTCGTTTTTCGCGAGGTTGGTTCGGTCGCGGAGGACCGGTGCTATGGCCTGCTCGTTCTACGGACCTCACACCCTTGGACTTCTTTTTGTGGTGTAATGTGAAGAACAGAGTGTATTTCTCCGATTGCCCAACGTTTGCCGAGATGGAACAGCGTGTTAGATCGGTTTTCGCATCAATAACACCGACGATGGTGCGAAATGCCACACAAGCAATATCCCAACGAGCGAGGTTGTCTATTGAGCAAGGCGGAACTCACTGAGCTGTTTCTGCAAATTTGACGCTTATTATGAAAAATTAAGTGTTCGTTTAGGTTGTTTAGTTATGTTAGGTCTTTTAAAATTTTAGTCGTTCCGCGAATTAAGTAGAAATGTAGGTACATTCTGCGTAGTTTACTCTTTAATTTTACTGAAATAGGGCTTGCACATCAGTGAAAATAATAATATTTATTTTTATTTTTTGGGGTATGTTATACAGCGTTACTACGGTTCTAAAATGTTGTGAATGGACTCGTTATAAGGTCCCATTTAACCTCCTTTCGGCTTTACAGGTAGTTTTGTAACATACTGTATAATAATTATTTATTTCTCCTGACAACAACCCCAAAATCCCGATTCAAAAAACTAGGTAGGTACCTATTAAATCGATACAAAAGACTTTTTTTTAATAAAAAGAATTCGTATTTAAAGTACATAATATATTATGTACTATTATATATTAATATGTTCGTTATGTAGGAATGTTGTGGCTTCCTATAATATAGTAATAAAGTAACCGACTATTAATAGGGGCTAAATAAAAAAAAAACTAAAATATTTTATTTATATACGCGGTAGAGCTACGCTGCAGCTATATTTATTACAGTTGTAGCACGAATGGGTCGGCTCGCCAGGGAGGGACCACGCTCTCACAGAATACCAGCGTAAAATAGTAGCTTAATGCTGCTGTGTTTCGTATGGTGAGTGTAGAGAACCCGAGACCCTTTTACTGGAAACGAGGCATTCCATCTTGGTCCTCAGGGACTTAGAGCATACATTACATGGAGGGAGCACTGTGTGAGCAGAAAGGGTGATCGGCGTAGAGAGAGAGAGACTGAGTTTAGGTAGAGTCTGTCTCTCGCACAGTCACTGTCATTGGCTGTTTCATTGGGCATGCGCTAAGCAAGGTGACGAGATTTACATTACAGCCAATCAGAAGCATGTGCGAGAGAGACAGACTCTACCTAAACCTTAGAGCACCGATCACGCTTTCTGCTCACACAGTGCTCCCTCCATGTAATGTATGCTCTAAGCTCAGGGATGACAACGCATCTGCATTTTTATACTTAATAGAGGATAAATGTAGATGTCTATGTCAACCTTATTCTATAAAAAATACCTATTAAGTAATATATGAGTACAAAGTACTATATTTTTTCAAAAAATTTGAAGAAATGTATTTCTTTAGAATATAAAATAATAATAATTTAAAATATTCTATATACTTTTTGGCATCTACAACAGTGAAGTAAATGCTATTACTAAATGTGATTAAAATTAAAAAACCGGCCAAGTGCGAGTCGGACTCGAGCATGAAGGGTGTAGGGTATTTTTAAATACTTTTTTAAAATAAAAACATTTCTCCTGTATGAGGACCCCTTTACTTTCTATTATTTTATTTTATTATTATTATTTAACAAATATAGCTATACAAACTCTGTGAGCATTTCAAGCGTAGGTATACTTGTTGATATTACTAAGATCGAGTGGAAAAAAACCCAAAAAAAAACACGTTTCTAGTAGGGTACATCCTTTAAT